GACTTGAAAGAGACAGATCATTCACCTAAAGTTAAGCATGTGCATAAAGATCTGCAGGAACATTTCAGTAGTGGGAGACACGTTTGCAGAAAGCAGCAAACATCATTCTAAATTCCTCCACTGAATCATCCTAGCACTTTATAAGAGCTAGTTAATTATTTTTCACATATAGTGAACTCTTAGACAGAGGAGGTCAGCATCTTTTGCAATAATTAGTCAATTTTGTTTCCTCCATCACAGTGAGATAGGAAAATACCACTGTGCTTTCACAGATTTCAAAGGAAGTCAAATAAGGGCCTCCCTTTAGCTCTGCTATGTATATCCTACTGGCTCCAGCATCCACAGTTTACACAGCACACTGAATGCACTAGACATGCAGAGGGGGTAACATTGTCGTTTGCTTTTTGCAAATGCTTTAATTATTTGTTACCATCAAAAAAGCCAGAAATATCATCCAATAGTTGTTCCAACTCCTGAGCTAACTACTAAAAGCACATTTCCACTGCAGATTGCTAATTAACAATTTAAGAAACGTTTTCACCTTCTTTAGTAGCATCTTTTATTGAAACCGGTAGACACTTTTCATTCATAAAGTAGCCTTAACCAAGTGTGCATTAACTTAAAGAGTTAATGACAGTAATATTAACAGGGGCAAGATGTGGTACAAAGCAAACTGTACCCTGTGAAACAGCAAGTAGGTTTCAAGAACTGCTAATGAGAGAAGGTTATGGATGCATGTTAACTAACCCTATGGTCTCTTCCTGTTAACCAGTGCCTCACTAACTAAATAAGATACAATGTCTATCTGTATACATGGATAATATGTATCAGACATCATTTATCTCAGAACTTATGTAAAAATTCAAAATATGTGATTCACATAGCGTGGCTCCTGGGAAATGGTGGTAGCAATGCATTCTGTTGTACCAGGCCAACTTTTGTGATACATCAAGAAGGGGTATATTCACTTTGCCCATGTCTACTAAAGGTATTAGCTGAAGGCAGTAATCACCTTTGCTTACCTGGAAATCGTCAATTTCCAAGTGCACAATTCTTCAGACAGTGTGTAACAAGGTGGTAGCATGTAACATGCAACCCACAGGTAGTGTGCCTACTGCATCAAATCCCACAACACACCAGGAGGATGTGTCAGCTGCCAGGACCTATTCAATCAAGATATAAGGGTTATTTAACAGAAACCACTTTATAAGATGAGCAACAGTGTTCATTCCCCATTTGCCCTTCTCTGCACCTTCCTATGACTATCATTAAGAAACACTGGCAGCGTTTTAGAGACAGAAAACCTATCTCTACATTCTTGATATTCCTGAAAGCACCAGACAGTCATTTGCTTATCTTCTGCCATTAGCTATCACCACAGCTCCTTCCAGACAACTTCTCAGGAAAAAGACAGAAAATCTGACTTGACTCATAAAGTAGCAGTTTCTTATCTTCCAGCTATCTAAGGTCACAGACAGGAAACACTTGATAAGAGTTAGCCAGTAATCCTCCCAGTACCATGGATTCCCTCACAGGACTGGATATAGCTGGAGTTTCACTGGCAGAAATTCACTCATCTTCATTCCCTTCCTTATTTTATTGCCTTCCAGGAATAGGGTAATAAAAATAGTTTTGGATGGTTATAAAACCCTTTGAACATTGCTGGGAGACAGTAGGTGATATGACCCAAGAATATCTGGCAAAAGATGTTTCTTTGGGTGGTAATGTTAATCAAATCCCTTTTGAAAATAAAAGACTTAGCTTATGGCCAAAGCATCTGGTTAACAAGCACTGTATCAGTGGTCCAGTTATATGAAGTTAATGGTCTCAGGTTTACATATACCTTTCTCCGCTCCTTTTTTAATCAAATAAGCTCTGCAAAGTTGGCTCACTTTTCTTGTAAAAGATAGATTAGAATATTGAGGTATCCTTGGTAAATGTAAGAAACTTCTTAGTCATCATTCCTTGAAGTATGCAAACCACGAGAGAAAGAATTACATGATATATAAAACACCAGAACAGCTTAGAAGAAATGAAGATCTATAAAACTGTTTTGGTACCTAACTACCACTATGTCTATCACTCCGCTATCACTACTAGTTAAAAAAGAAAAAGGCTATATAGGGCATTTTTTTAACATTGTCTATAATTACTACTTTTTATTCCGATATCAATAACTACTACTACAATAACATGCATAGGAACATCACATACATTAGCATTGTGAAACAAGAACATTATGGATGCAAGACATTTTATCCTATTTTTCATATTTAATCAAAGATTTTCCAAAAACTTTCTATCAAATCATTAATATGAAACTGAGAGAAATGAAGGATGATGCTTAAGAACAGAAGCTTACTTTATGCACATGTGCTAAGTCAATTAATTAAACACACAGGTTCATTCATACATATACTTTTTAATATACATATGCAAAAGTAAGAGTGTGTGTGAGTATGAGCATGTAGACTTTTAATGGCAAAAATCACCCCTTTTTTTCTTTTATGGAAGATATTTCAATCAGAATATTCTGATATGCTTCTTTTTAAAAACTCTCCGCTTTCATCTCAAAGAAGAAAACTGCAATTGCATTATTTCTCATTTGCAAAACTTACACAGCATTTTTGGTTCCAGAAATTGGATTGGCATTTTGTCTTAGCAACAATTTAATAATGGCCAAGGTACAAGAACTCAGACCAAAAATTCCCTATCATAAATGCAATATTCCTTCCAGCACCAGTGTAACTACGCTTCCAATTATTCAAACGTAAAGGCAATTTTCTGGGGAAGACAAGAAATCATATTGACTTGAGAGTTATTAACACTAAAATTTTAGGCCTAGGTTGAAAGTGATATTAAGAATGTAAAACAGCCATTAAAATGATTTAGTTGCCTACACTGCCTTGTAGTCATTTTTACTTGGAAACATCTACATTTCCTAGGTTTCTCTCTCTTTCATGCAAATTCCCTGGGTATCTTGAAAATTCTGCCTCTGTACAAACTGGAACAATAGAAGGATCTAGGAATGAATCCAGACTGCTGAACATGCACGTAAACTTGAAATGCCTAAGAGAAAAGATAAGTCTTTACATCAGTAAAGCAACAGAGAAGTGAGTGTATTGGAAAACTCAGAGTGTAGCCTGAGTAGGAGGTGCTACATAGTTGAGTGTTCTTTGCAACATTAGTGAGAAAATAAATAATATAGTCAATATATTAATTCATTACTATTGCTACACTATTTGTGTTTAACCTTTCAAGTCAGATGACATCTTTTATGGGAGTAATTGAAATTTATTCTTTAGTGGAGAAAAGATTCACAAAATTTCCTGTTTCTGCATCGTCATAACATCTTGCTGCACAGTTCTTAGAGAAACATGTGTACCTGTTATAGAGGCCACCTGCAATTTATTAACAAGCTGATTAGGTACCTGCAGAATGAATCATAAAATCTAGGCTATGGGAAAAGGAAATAATTGTTTATGATAATTTCAGGCTCTAGTTAAAAAGGAAAGTGTTTTGTATTACAGATGCCCAAGCAGAGAAGACCTGCACAGAAGAACGGTTGTCCAACCAGGTTTTCATTGACCAAACATACCTTCCAAAAATGTTATTTCTTTCATTTCTTTCCAGTTTTTCCCTTGATTATATACTCTACATTCTGACATAACCTCTCAACAGGTTTTGCACAAAGTGAACTTGTTCTTGCAATTGAGTCCTAAGCCCATATTGCCATCAGGAGGAGGGTGCATGTTTAGGATCAAGACTGTCAAGTCCCACAGCTCAGGGGAGCCTACACTCCTTCACTAAGGTCTGATTTTTTTTGTGTCTGGTTCATGTCACTGTACTTCAAGAGGCGTAAACTCAGACTCACTAATATTCCACTAACTTTTCTTTCAGGTCGTTCTGAAGTCCCCCTAGCCTGAATCCATCTCTGAACTTTCTGTCTATTGCAGACGATCACTGTCTTCCAAGATACTATATTTAGGAGGTGCTGAAGATCTTCTTGGCAACCATACAGAATACATCACACAGGCACAGTGACAGCTCTGGGGCTTTCATTTCTGTTATACAGAAGTGGTAGTTCAGGGTTTGCAAGGCACTTTATCCACAACATTCACAGATTGCTTCCAATATGAGTTTCTTGCATGTAGGAGAAGGGCAGCTACATGAAGCAAGGAACATCAGAAGATCACCAGTAACTGGTTTGCAGGACACAGGCTGCAATGGGATGTCTGGTGCTGCTCAGCACTGGAATAGAGCATGAGAAGCAGACTGTGAGACTATAGGAACAGCAGAAACAGGTCAACACAAACCAGTCTGGCACTGGCCATTTATGATAATAATAGGATTAGTTAAGCCAAGATTTTTCATCCAATTTCCTGATTTTTCTTTGGCCTCAGAGTCTCTTTATCAGCCAGTGAGACACTCAGTTGAGACTTGCACGATGAACATTCAATCATCTCAAACACTCAAACAATAACTCTGGAAAGTAAAGTGCTGAGAGATCAGCTTGGAGCCAATGTCGTTTTCTTCCAACTAGGTCTCCAAAGGCCTTGACTAAGGTGTCATTCTCTATGTGATAATTCTATTCTAGTAAAATTTTCCTTATTCCACTGACCCTGCCATAGGCCACACATCATGATCCTTGCTTGTTTTTCACTTATGCTTTTACTCCCTTTGATGTAAATAGCATTTGCCCATTTAACAGTCCCAGAATTTGGCTCGATGGTCCTATACTAGACCAGCCTGCCAAGTGACTGTACCTCACGAAGTGAAATTAAAGATGGAGAATTCCCTTAGAAGTACAAAGTAAAAAAAAAAAAAAGACAACAAAAAGGTGAAATGTCAACATTTTATTATTGCTGAGGTAGCTTGCATTATTATGAAAGTCAGCTGAGATATTTGCACAGTTGTATAGTGATAAATTTCACAGAGTGTACACAGTAGAAGCAAGGAAAGAGCAAGTTGGAGCATTTATTCACGATGATATTCCATACTATGCAACGGCAACAGCAAATGTCAACGACTGTGATATAGAGCAGTCTGTGTAGTTGCACAAAACCCAGAAGCTCAGTTATGGTTAGTCTGCATCATGAGGGGATCAAAAAAATCATGACTGGAGTTGTTGTTTGGGTGGGGAACTTGTGAATTAATTTTCATCTCCTCTTGACATGAGAGAATAATGTCTGCCAGTAGCCAAAGGTGAATTATTAAGTGGTGAAATAGGGATTCCTAATAGGTTCTATAGGTGAACGCATAACAGGATCAAATTCATCACTATTGCCTCCTTTATAGCACTTACTGTTTGTGATCTTGTCCATTCAGGATGTGCTAGACAGCTCTGTTACCATCTGAATTCCCATTCAGAGGTGCTGCTGTGTCTCCCCAGGCACTAGGGAAGAGTCTATTTTATTGTTTTTATGATCATGAGTAACCAATAGGGTATGGTCCAATCACAGATGGGTCTTCAAAGAGGCTAAAGATACTCGTTCTATGAGAAAGACAAACAAACTCTTAAACAGAAGGGCAGGAAAGCTAAAAACAAAACAAAACAAAAAAACCCTAATATATCATGCAGTGATAGATGACTTACTAAAGGAGCAAAATTCAAAATAAGTGAAAAGAAAAAACAGACACGTTTTAGTTCCTTCTGGGTTTTTGTGTTTTGTGCAAAGGAAATGATGCAGCTCATGTTAATTGAGTAAAATTAGCACTCACAATATCTAAGTTGTAGGACAAGAATATGCAATTATATTCAACTGCAGAACAAGAATACTGCAAAACAAGAATGCACAATCATTCTTCATCTCTTTTTTATGATAAAGAAACATCTGCAATTTTTAGTATTTTTTTGCTGCCAGTGCATTTTTGCTGTATGGAAGATAAATAAAGGGTTACAGATGAAAATTTTTGAATGTTTTTTTTTTTCCAATCCAAGTTACAGAGCACAAATATTTCAGCATTTTTCACCGTTAGGTAGCCCTCGTCAAGACAGAACATTGCCAGAAAACCTCAATTCCAAAATTTACCTATAAACATTGTTGCCACATGAATGTGGCAAGTGCCCTCTCTCTCTTCCCTCTTCACAAACATCTTTTTATTCATGAACATCAAAAAGAGGGCTTGTTTGCACATGGAAATACTCACTTCAAACAGTTCAAAAGACAAGCATTGCAGAACAGCTAGCGGGTTTTATTTGCAAACTATAGATACAGATTAAGATGGACTTTTAAAAAGGAAAATTAGCATTCCCCACTGCTATTTCTGAGATAAATAAAATGATAAGAAGTGGATCAATTTCTAAAAGCTTAAGCAGCTCTGATTACATATTTGAAAATCCGCACTCAGACTACTGCTTTGGAAACTGAACTAGAAATATCCTCAAATTTGAATCAGTTACTGATTGTTCTTATACTGGAACTAACGCAGGAGCAGCACTTTTTGATATTTCTGAACATCTGCTTTTGATCTCTATCTGAAGAAGAAATGAAGAAATGAAGAAATTATTCAGCAAGAGAACAGTTGAGCAAAGAAATAACACAGCAAGACTTGTAAATCATATAACTTCATCCACTTCTTAGCAACCATCACCCTTTATTGATTTCTTCCTCTGACCCTTTAAGCATTCAGACACATTTTAAAGCTCCAGATTTTGTCAATGGATTTTTCATAGGGATTATGTGAAAGAATCTCAAGGAAAAGGGATTGTCAGCCTGATGGTAGATGTACTAAAAGGCTAAGTAAGTTGCCAACCTTTCCAAACATTTTCAGTCCGTGCAGGATGGATAGACAGGTGACATTTGTGGAATATTGACATTTGCTTCAGATTTCAAAACCAAAAGTAGCATTTTCATCCACAGTTGATTAAAGCTGTTTTTATTACTTGTTTGTTTATTGAACATATTATTAAAAAAACAGCTATAGGTGATACGGCTTGCAAAGCTGTTAGGAGAACACTTCATAAGTGCACTGCCATCTTCTGGGAGAATCTTTCTCATTCTGAAGTCAGATGAGATAGTTATTTTGTCCAATTTCTATCCAGCATAGTTAAGGAGATGCTGATTTCCAACTAACTGACAGTACAGCTAAAAGCTTTTCATTTTAGTTTTACGATATCTTGCTCCATTCGCATCAAGAAACAATCAATCAAAATCACCTACTTCAGTTATGAATACTAATACATGCAGCTGGTCATGAAAATCTCTCTTATGTCCACAGAAAGGAAGATGCTGTTGTACAACATTATTTTCTTATAAAGTGTCATTAGTTCAAAATTTTACCTGGTAACAGTGTAAGTCCAGCTCCTATCCAGTAATCCAAAGGACAACATAAAAAGCGGTTGAATTTCTTGTCCAGCGATAGATGCATTAATGAATATGAGATATATTAGCCAACCTTAAAATAATTAAGAAGTTTTTTGTTTGTTTGTTTGCCTATTGAAACACAGTGTCCTTCTGGAGCAGGCTGTAAGTAACCTGACTCAAAACATCTTTTGCTTAGAGATGAGCAGGAAATCAGCACCAAAAAGTGGTGTGTCTCTGTAAAAGTATTTTAACAGTACTATTAAAAATCTGGATGCTGCATATCAAAAGCAAACACTCTAATCACTTCAAATATTTGTTTTCAAAATAATTCTGTTCTCTTCCATAGATAGATATTTGGAAATAGCCCAAAATTTTTTGCAGAAATTCCCTTAACTGTTGCACTGAAAGGCTAATAGATATCAAGCCTCAACTGCCCTAATAAAGCAGGTTGCAGAGTTTCAATCTGAAAGTCCTATAGCACCAAGATAAGGAGCAGCAAAGAGAAGTTTATTCCACCCTATTATATATTTAAATGCTAATAAGCCAAACAACCTATGTCTAAACTAGAACATCTGTTTCAATGTCTCAAAAACCCCCAATAACAAAATATTTTGCTGCCTGTATTGATAAACCATGTACATGCCAATTGCCATCAACTGTATCAAATGCAAGCAATAAATGTATTACTACACAATTCATTCATCACTGAAGTTGCTACATCTCTTAACTTTTTTTCTACCTCTTTTTATCATAAACTGATTTTTTTTTCAAATTGAAGGGTGTATAAAGGATTATTTGCTAGTCAGTGTGGATCTCATATTCGATATTTATGTTAATAAGCCATTCCAAAGCTAGTTTGGCAGTTAATGCACTCTACAAGGAATTGCACTCATTAAAAATAACTTAAAGCAAACACTTTCTCCTGATAGATGCAGGTGAACCCAGGACATGGTACCATGATTTCAGATAGGTCAGTGATCCCTTCTCTGTCCCCACCTCGCCACGGTTCAGACTGCGACTAATACAGAACATAGTTTGCATTTGTTTTGCTGATATATGTGGCCAACTGTTTTTTCCTACGTTCTCTGACCTCCCATGGAGCTTAGCTGTGACTTCACTAACCATGGAGGGCAAAAGTTAATTAAAACCAATTAGGCTATAACAAGGCTGACTAATGATCTCAGCCCACTCACTGACAAATATATTTAGGCTCTGTGTTACTAGGAATATCTGTGGTATTCAAAAGATGTTAAATACAGATATTTCCAATCTTTGTTTACTCTGCAACTTAGGTTGATCATGTTGAAAAACCTTTGGGAAATTCACAAGCATGAATATAAACTAATGAAAAAGGCTGCCTGATCCAAAGAGCAAACTTGCCAAGCATGTTCCAGCTCTCATCTACCCAGCTAAAAGGACCCTGTAAAGAACAGCCATGACCAGGCCCAAAGAGAGCTTCACTGACAACATCAGCAACAAATTTATCTTCAGCACTCACAAGGAAACCTTGTGCATACAAATTGGAGTTCATTGGAAGTGAATGTTTCCCTTGCACAGTCCTTCAGGTCTGTTAATATCATTTGGGAAACTTAGCGCAGACTCACAGTTACAGTACAGAGGTGCCAACGTGTGCTTTGGGGAGGGGAGACGATTAGGAGATCAGGGATGAGTAACTACTTCTTGGACGATGATGCATAGAAATTGAATTATGATTTAGAGGCTCATACTTGCTCCCATGAAATAAAAATGAAACAATATGTCATTTTAAACTGGGGCCAGATGCATTGCCAAGACTCAGGTAGGTTCCTGGCACTGTAGATGAAAAAAAAAAAAATTGGAATAACTTTCTGACCAGACAAAATGAATCTCTGGTTTTGTGAAAGCCAGAAGTAAAAGAATAGCTCTAAAGCTGCTTTGACTGCTGCTATGCCATACAGTCTTGGATGAAAAAAGGATAAAATAGTTTTGGAGGTAAGTCTCAGTGAAGGAGGGAGACTGAGGCATGCAGCAGGTAAGCTGTATCCAACCACTGCCCTTTCCTGCAAAAGTCAGCAGGCTCTGCGGGCTGACGTTGCCTCCAGAAAAGTGGCAGGGGGCGCAAAAACCTGCAACAACTGGTCATTCCAAATGCAGCTTTACTAGCAGCAGTTTATCCATGCAGAACAGAAACAGGAGGACAAGAAAGGCCTGTGGTGCAGAGATACTGGAACTCACCGAGCATAGTGGTGAATAACTTTCCTTCCACGTGCAGCTCTTTTTTTAGATCTCTGAGGATCTTTGCAACAGAAAAGAAAACCAAGAAATTCTTCTAGTGCATCTAGTGTAAATAGCAGTAAACAAGTGAAGTTCTAAAAATGTGTATGTAATACAATTATTGCAAACTTATTTTCTGGTCTATGGGGAAAATTAACTCAGAAAGTCAGAGTTTGGCTCTAG